TTGAGACAGGGTCTCTGTCACCCAGGCTGGAGTGCAGTGATGCCATCTCAGCTCATTGCAGCCTTGACCACCAGGGTTCAAGCGATTCTCCCACCTTAGTCCTCCAAGTAGCTGGGACAACAGGTGCGCACTACCACTTCTGGCTAATTTTTGTATTTTTAGTAGAGACAGGGTTTCACCATGTTGCCCAGGCTGGTCTTAAGAGCTCAAGGAATCCGCCTGCCTTGGCCTCCCAAAGTGCTGAGATTACAGGTGTTAGCCACCCTGCCAGGCCCCATCTTATTGATTTCTGCAAACGATAAAAAGCCAGCTTGTATTTTGATATGAATTTCACTGAATCTGTAGGTAATTTGGGAAATATTGCTATCTTAATAATATTAAGTCTTTTGGTCTGGATTTTTTTATTTAGATCTTTAATTTCTTTCAATAATGGCCTATAGTTTTCAGAGTGTAAGTTTTTCACTTTCATTCGATTTATTCCTAAGTACTCTATTATTTTTGATGGCAACATAAATGGAATTATTTTCTAGTTCATTTTTGGATTATTCATTGTTGGTATATAGAAATACATTTGATTTTTATATATTGTTCTTGTACCTTGCTGAACTCATTTATTCTATTTTTTTAGTGAATTCCTTGGGATATTGTATACACAATATAACATCATCTACAAATAGTTTTAGTTCTTCCAACCTGAATGCCTTTTCTTTTTCTTGCCTAATTTCCATGACTAGAACCTCTGATACAATGTTGGATAGAAATGGCAAGAGTGGACATCCTGGCGGGGCACGGTGGCTCACGCCTGTAATCCCAGCACTTTGGGAGGCCAAGGCAGGTGGATCACGTCTCAAACTGCTGAGGTCAGGAGTTGAGACCAGCCTGGCCAGCATGGTGAAACCCCATCTCCACTAAAAGTACAAAAAATTAACTGGGCGTGGTTGAGGGCGCCTGTAATCCCAGCTACTCGGAAGGCTGAGGCAGGAGAATCACTTGAACCTGGGAGCCAGAGGTTGCAGTGAACCGAGATCACATTATTGAACTCCAGCCTGGGCAACAAGAGTGAGACTGTCTCAAAAACGAGTGGATATCCTTGTCTTGATCCTAGGGAGAAAACATTTAATTTTTCACTATTAGCTATAGGTTTTTCTTGTTTGTTTTTGAGACAGGGTCTTGCTCTGTTGTTCAGGCTGGAGTGCAGTGACATGAACACACTCACTGCAACCTCTGTCTCCCAGGCTCAAGCAGATCCTCCTACCTCAGCCTCCTGAGTAATTGGGACTACAGGCATGTGCCACCACACTCAGCTAATTTTTAAATTTCTTTTGCAGAGACAGAGTCTCACTATATTTCCCAGGCTGGTCTTGAACTCCTGGGCTCAAGTGATCCTCCCGCCTTGGCCTCCCAAAATGCTGGGATTACAGGCATAAGCCACTGCACCCTGCCAGCTATGGGTTTTTCATAGATGCCCTTTATCAGGTTGAGGAAGTCATCTTCTATTCCTAGTTGGTTGAATGAGCATTGGTTTTTGTCAACTGGTGTTTTGTTTTGTTTTGTTTTTTGAGACTGAGTCTTGCTCTGTTGTCCAAGCTGGAGTGCAGTGGCAGCATCTCAGCTCACTGCAACCTCTGCCTCCTGGATTCAAGCGATTCCCCTGCCTCGGCCTCCTGAGTAGCTGGGATTACAGACACCCACCACCATGCCTGGCTAATTTATTTTTTGTATTTTTAGTAGAGACGGGGTTTTCCCATCTTAGCCAGCCTGGTCTTGAACTCCTGGGCTCCGGTGATCAGCCTCCCGAAGTGCTGGGATTCCAGGCGTGAGCCACCGCACCCAGCCAAATGGTGTTTGTCTGTTGAGATGATCATGTGGTTTTAGTTCTTTGTTCTATTAGAATGGTGTAGGTGGTAAGCTGAATAATGCTCTCACCCACCCAATGATATCCATGTTCTAATGCCCAAAATGTGAGTATGTTATGTTACATAAGGTTGCCAATGGAATTAAAGTTGCTAATCAGTTGATTTTTAAGTAGGGAGATCATCCTGGATTATCTATGTAGGCCCAATATAATCATAAGGGTCCTTAAAAGTAGAAGGACAGAGAAGGACCATAGAGATGGCAGCTTGAGAAGGACTATGCCCAATGATGCCCACTTTTTTTTTTTTTTTTGAGACAGAGTCTCACTCTGTCACCCAGGCTGGAGTACAATGGCGTGGTCTCGGCTCACTGCAACCTCCGCCTCCCTAGTTCAAGTGATTCTCCCACCTCAGCCTCCCGAGTAGCTGGGACTACAGGCGTGTGCCATGATGCTTAGCTAATTTTTTTATTTTTAGTAGAGATGGGGTTTCACTATGTTGGCCAGGCTGGTCTCGAACTCCTGACCTCATGATATGCCTGCCTCGCCTCCCAAAGTGCTGGGATTGCAGGCATGAGCCACCGCACCCAGCCCAATATTGTTCACTTTAAGCCGGAAGGAATGCAAGGAATGTGGTAGTTTCTAGAAGCTAGAAAAGTAAAGGAAGTAGATTCTCCTGTACAGCCTCCAAAAAAAAAAGATAAAACTTGCCTCTAAAAAGTAATGCAGACCTGCCCATACCTGATTTTAGCCCAGTGAGACCCATTTTGGAATTCTGACCTTCAAAACTGTACAATAACAAATTTGTTGCTTTAAGCCACTAGGTTTGTTGTAATTTGTTACAGCAGCAATAGGACATTAACATAGTATACTCATTGATTTTCAGATGTTAAACTAACCTTGCATTCCTATGATAAATCTCAGTTGGTCATGGTATGTAATCCTTTCTTCTAGTGGCTGGATTTGGTGTGGTGTTTTGTTGAGCATTTTTTAGTCTATATTAATAAAAGATCCTTGTCTGCAGTTTTCATGTGACGTCTTTGTCTGGCTTTGGTATCAGGGTAACACTGGCCTCACAGAAAGAGTTGGAAAGTGTTTCCCCCCTCTTCTATAGCCACCCAGCTTTGTCATGGTTGCCATTTATATGGTATGTCTTTCCATTCTTTTACTTTCAACATAATTTGAACCTATCTTTGATTTAGATTTCCTCTACAATAACCAATAATATTTTTATGACCATGAATAAAACTGCATTTATCTTACTAGCTACTTTTTTAAAAAATGGAATTGTAAACCTTTGTTTTCCCAATGATAATAACTTTTCATTTCTATACACTCTCTGGTTCTCTTACTGGCAATAAACCTTGGTATTTTTGCTTAATTTTGTTTAACTTAAAAGAAAACTTTGTCACTGTATATGTTGGGCCCATCTTTTTTTTTTTTTTTTTTTCCTACTGGTCTGTGAAATCTGTCTAGGAACCACCAAATTACAGGATTTCCAAGACTGGGTTAGGTTGTATATAAAACATAAGTTGTATATAAAACATAAGTTGTATCTATGGAAACAAGTCTGTTAAACTTATGAGTAATATTTAAACTAACAAAATTTTATCAGTATTTTTGCTTTAATTCAGATTTTTTAAAGACATCCTAAAACTAGGATGGAAACCATATCAAAATCACGACTGTACATTGTGAAAAACTGAAAACATCTAAATGTCCAATAATATAGATTGGTTAAATTACAGTGTATTTATATAATGGTTATCTATTTAAAATCATGTTTTATAATAGTATTATACAGACATGGAAAAATGTTCAACTACAGGTCAACTTGTCACATTCTGGTGACTAGTACCTCCTCTAACCCTTTGGGTGTGTTGCAGCTTCCCAAGGTGGTTTATTGGCTTTCTTTAATCCTACTTTTTTGGTAAATATTCCCTTAATTAAATGCTGTTCAGTCACTCCACTTTAGTGAATCATCTATTTCCAGTTAAGATCCTGAAAAAAGTTATTAACCATTAACACAGGTTAATGGTGAAATTGCACCATTACTCTGGTTGGTGGAATTATGATGAAATTACACAGAAAACAACAAATGCCTGTTTTTTTTTTTTTAAACAAGTAATACTGTGATAGGTGCACTACACCTAATAATAGTAAGGGCTACCGTTAATTATTAGCGAGTTAGTTATATACTGTGCTTTATAGATCACCTCCTTTAATCCTTTAAATAACTGTGTATTAACATCATCTCCAGTTAGACATGAGGAAACATTAAACATTTATTATTGTCAATTAATATATTGTCATTGTTTTCTTTTATAGATCATTCACGAGAAGTGTTGGAGCAATTAGTAGGCCCAAACAAACTAAAGCAAGTGACATGGACTGTTTATTGATGCTTTTTTGAAGATGATCAATACTAGGAAAGCTTATCAAAACTACTTTCCCAGGAAACCATCTATAGAGATTTGCATTCTATTTAATGTTAACACTACTTTTAATTATTTTATTGTCTTAAGTTATAACTCTCAGAGAATTAGCTGAGTCTTGGTATATACATGTTTGTGCTTTACTCTTAAACATCTTAATAGTGCTATTATTCTATATCTGTTGGATGAGTCATTATTTTTGAAATGATAATCCTAGCATGAACTCTGATCTATGGTGTTGGATTTTGTTTTTAAAATAACTTTAAAATTAACTGTTTTCCCTTGAGATTTCCTTCTCCTATGTAGGTATTTGAGTTATTGTTGTAAGCTTACCTGTAAGTATAAACCTTGGGAGAATCTAAGTCAACATATTTCTAAAAGCATAGTTACCTTCCTATTTTCTGGCTCTTACCTTCCTGGAGTATTTAAATACCCATTTGCCAAAAGCAGACCTGAACATCAAGCCTGTTAATTCTTAAAGGGATTTAGGTATTTGTTTCACTGAAATGAAGTGACTTATTAGCCATTCAGCGTATTAGTATTACAGAGGCTCTTGCCCAGCCTCTTAGTTCATTGAATTTTATGGCTACTCTTCCCAATTACATTTTATTCATCTGTAAGCTTTCCTTCCTTAGCAAAATTGCATTCAAAAATGTGTAAAAATGAGTAAATACAGAATATCACTATAGAGATTTGTATCCTCAGGTTCTACTGATTTCACATTGTGAAATAAACAGCAAAGGTCTTAGTTTTCAAGTGAAAACTTTTTGGTAATCACAAAATTACCTGACACATACCATGCTTAAACCAACCCGCAAATTTAGCATATTCATTTTGTCATGAGCCTGTCTTGTTGAGATTTTCTTAAAAGATTTCTTATTTTGCCTCTGATGTAGTGAAAAACGGGGTAAGTATGCTAACTTTCTTGTGTATGTTGGGGGGTACTTATTCAACTCCATTTCTTGTCCTTACTATTGCTTTATAAATGTGGTATGTTTATAGTGTGGCTATATATGTTGCCACTGCAAAGGTGGCACATATGTATATATGTGCAAAAAGGGTAAGGCCTGTTCTATCTATGAAATTTTTCTAAAGACGAATTCAATAAAATTTAATACTGAATATTTAACCAAGTCAATCGTATTTTCCCCTTTTTGCAGAAACCAGTTTTGACTTTTAAGTTGTGAGCTTCTTTGGGTCTTTGAAGGATTTATCTTCCTAAAACAGTTTGCAGTTTTATTTTCCTCCTTTTTTATGTTGCTAGTTGTATTAATTATTTCTCACCACTCTGTTTAAAATATCTGTACCCCATCTAGTACCCAGTATTCCCTATCACCTTTACCTCTTTTTCTCCTTACTACCTATCACCATCTGATGCCTGTTTTACTTTTCATTTGTTCATTATGTCTCCCTACTCTAGAATATAAATTTTGTAAGGACAAAATATTTATCTTTTTTTTTCATTGCTGTATCCCTATATCCCCAGTGCCTAGAACAGTGCCTGGTATATAATAAGCACTCAAATATTCATTGAATAAGTAAATATGGAAAGAAATAAAGGAGGAAAGAAAAAAACACCCAGTAATACCCAGCCTGGCCAATGTAGCAAGACTCCATGTCTACAAAAAATACAAAATAAAAAATCTAGCCAGGCATCATGGTGGTGCATGCCTGCAGTCCTAGCTACTAAGGAGGCTGAAGTGGGAGGATTACCTGAGCCTGGAAAGTCGAGGCTGCAGTGAGCATGGTCACATTGCGGAACTCCAGCCTGGATGAGAGAGCAAGACCCTGTCTAAAAACAAAACAAAACAAAAACCTCAACAACAACAACAACAAAAATTTCCAGTCTCTAGTCTGATTTATATGTTCTAATATAAAGAGATTGGAAGTCATCATTCCCATCCTCACAATAAGAATAAAGCTGAATAAACTGAAAAATCAACAACACTTAGATCCTAATTTATTTAAGGTTAAAGAGCAAATGCCTCACATATTAGAAATGCAAATACAAAGAACCACAGCTTACAGGGAGCAGAAGCCTTTTGCTGGAGCCAGTACCAGTAGGAACATTTATGCTATAATTTCTGAGTTGCTGGAGGCTCCATGTGGATGGACTTAAGAATCAACAGCTCCAGCCTGGTGCAGTGGCTCACAATGGTAATCCCAGCAATTTGGGAGGCTGAGGCGGATGGATCACCTCAGGACAGGAATTTGAGACCAGCCTGGCCAACATGGTGAAGCCCTGTCTTTACTAAAAATGCAAAAATTAGCTGGGCATGGTGGTGCATGCCTGTAATCCCAGCTGAGCATGGTGATGCACGCCTCTAATCCCAGCTACTTGGGAGGCTGAGGCAGGAGAATCACTTTAACCCAGGAGGCAGAGGTTGCAGTGAGCCAAGATCGTGCCATTGCACTCCAGCCTGGGTGATAAGAGACTCTGTCTCAAAAAAAAAAAAAAAAATCAAAAGCTCCAGGAATCTGTCCATAACCGTTATCTCACCAGGTGTGGTAACCCTGCCGTCACTCTGAGCCTACACTGCTTCTGGGAGCTGCCTAATTCACAGATTGTTCTTTGCTCAATTAAACTTTGTTAAATTAAAACAAACCAACTCAAGGGGGCCCATTCCTAGGGGAGACACCACACTTTCATAGTTTTACCTCCAGGATACCTACCAGGTTCTCAGGGTGAGGATCAGAGAAAAATCCCTTTTTCTGGTATGAGGATGGGGAAAGTAACCATTTTGAAATATGCCCAAGCATTCAATTCTCCTTAACAAAAGCCAGCTCTCAAGGGAAACTATTTTACTAGAGCCTAGCTGACCTGGGGGAAAGGAAGTACCCAGCTCTAGCCTCCTCTAGCTTTCCTGTCTCACCAAAGGGACAAAAGAAAAGCTGAAAGCACTTGTGAAGGTCACAGCAGGAGCACAGGCTGACTTAAATGACTGAGACTTAATCACAGAACTATAGAACATACCTTCTCCCATACTTTATCACATCAATTAGGCTACTGTATAATAACAGGGAATTACAGGTGAAAAAAACTGCAAGCTTCAGACTCTATATAAGAAGGAATCTCTAGGGAAACTCAAAGATAACAGGGGAGACAACAGCAAGGACACTAGAGGAAAATTTAGCCTGTAATAGCTACACTACAGCAAACAATAGCCCTACCCAGATTTTAAAACCTCATGCTACCTTAGTTTACCTGCTTATTTATCCAATACATCATGTCTAGCTATCAACAAAAAATTACAAGGCATGCTAAAAGACAAAAAAACAGTCTGGAAAGACAAGCATCAGAACCAGACTCAGATATGGTAGACATTTTAGAATTATCAGATCATAAATTTAAAATAACTGATTAACATGCAAAGGGCTCTAATGTGAAAAGCATACAACATGCAAGAATGATGGGTGACATAAGCAGAGATAGAAGCTATAAGAAAAAATCAAAAGGAAGTGATCGAAATAAAAAACACTGTTAGGCTGGTGTGGTGGCTCACACCTGTAATCCTAGCACTTTGGGAGGCCAAGGCGGGTGGATCACCTGAGGTCAGGAGTTTGAGACTGGCCTGGCCAACATGGCAAAACCCAGTCTCTACTAAAAATACAAAAATGAGCCAGGCATGGTGGTGCACACCTAAAATCCCAGCTACTCCAGAGGCTGAGACAGGACAATCACTTGAATGTGGGAGGCGGAGGCTACAGTGAGCTGAGATATGCGCCACTGCACTCCAGCCTGGGCAACGAGCGAGACTCCATCTCAAAAAAAAAAAAAAAAGCCCAGAGTTCAAGGTTGCAGTGCTCAATGATTAAGCCTCTGAATAGCCACTGCATTCCAGCCTGGGAGCAGAGACTCTGTCTCTAAAAAAAGAAAAAATATATATATTCTTCTATGTTTTGTTTGTTTAATTAAAAGTTACATCACAGTTGTTCTCAACTACAGAAACAGATCTGGCTACAATGTTTCATTCCTCTGCATTACTTAAATGCTGCCACCACTGAGTATGGCATTGTATAATCATATTTTTTCAGTGGTTAAAATACAAAACAATGCAGATAGAGATGTGTATAATTGGCATGCATAGAAATACAGAACCAGTTACATGACAAAAGTAAGCAAAACTCTAAACCTTCATATTTTAAAAACAAGATATGCCGTTTAACAAGAATTACATTCATTAAACTGGAGAGTATCTCCTATAGAGAAAACTTTCAGAGTCAGATCCAAACATTACTATATTCATACTTGGAAGCACTTCGACAACTCAAGGCTGAAAATCCCACACTGTGCTTGTTGTCAGTCCACTGTTTTCCTGCCTAGTAGGCTCCAAAAGTGAATATTCTACCACTTTGTGCAGGTGATGCTGAATGCTGTGTCCACTGAACTGGGGCCGCCCAGGGTCACCAATCAGTACTCGAGTTCTATAGGTCCAGAAGCACTTCTTCAGCCACTGATGAAGACTATCTGCAAGGTTTTCATCATAAAACATATCGCCAAGAACAACAAGGTCCCACTTATCTTGTTCCAAATTCAAAATGTTTTGGATTAAAATAGGAAAAGGATTCAGTCGGTTCAATTCACAATTTAGTGTAATAGCCATTCCTGCAACTTAAAAAAAAGAAAAAAAAGCACAAAATGAATTGGTATATGCTAGGCTGTTATAATTCCCTGTTGATTAAATAATTTAAAAGATCTGCTAACAATATATTTTTCTTCCTTTTTGTTGAAAGTTGTTGTTTAAAGAAGTATAAAGGTTATCTCAATATAAGCTATACCACAATTTCCAAATATATGACTGGATATCCTGAAAACAAAACAAACAATTCAAAACACCTAGAAATGCTGGGAATTTTAGGAATATTTGCTGATTTCATTAACCAAAATATTGTGTTTTTTACTGTGAACAGGGAAACAAGCCTTGGGCTTGATTGAGCATGGCAATAAATTAGAACTGAGACCACTTGGCTGGGCGCAGTGGCTCACGCCTGTAATCCCAGCACTTTGAGAGGCCGAGGCAAGCGGATCACCTGAGGTCAGGAGTTTGAAACCTGCCTGGCCAACATCGTGAAACCCTGTCTCTAATAAAAATACAAAAATTAGCTGGACATGGTGGTGCATGCCTGTAACCCCAGCTACTCGGGAGGCTGAGGCAGGAGAATCACTTGAACCCAGG